TTTTTTTTTTTTTTTTTTTGATGTGTACCTACCGGTAGCTCGAGGCTCGACAAGGTTCGGCCTACCGGTAGGCTGAGCCACGGGCCTTAACAACCGGCAGGAACTGGTGGTTTAAGTAGTGCCAAACAGTCGGTGGTTCCTCGTTTGGAGTGCCAACTGCACTCTTAGGGGGGCTGCTTGGTTCGAGATGTCTGTGTTGCCTGTCGGTGATGATGGATGGTCGTCGGAGTGTCTCCCTGGCTCAGCGGGTGGTGGGAACCAACGGTTTGCGGGGTTCTATCGTGATGTGAGTAGGTCATGTGCTGCTTTGCTCCGTGTTGGATGTGTAGACTGTTTTGTTTGCGCTCTACCACGGTCTTGCTGTGCGTGCCGCTTGCTTTGCAGGTCGTCCTCGCTGCTCTGCTGCCTTGCCGCTTACCTGCGGGTCGTGCCTCCCGTGTCTTTTGCTCGCGTGCCTTGTGGTTTGGTAGCCTTATGGTGGTGTCTCGTGCTTCGCTGCACGGTTGCTGAGTTGCTTGTCCGTGTGCCCTGTCGGCCTTCAGTGTCCTTTGCGTGCATGCCTTGTAGTTTGGTTGCCTTGTTGGTGGTGCGTTGTACTTCACTGCACTGTTGCCGAGCTGCTCGTTTGCTTGCCCTGCTGGCCTTCCGCCTCCCTTACTTGCTTGCGTGCCTTGTAGTCTCGTCGCCTTGCTGATGTTGCCTTGCGCTGCACCGCACGGTTGTCGAGCTGCTCGTCCTCTTGCCCTGTCATTCCTTGCAGTCTTCTTTGGTGATAAGCAATTGAGTTGCCTCTACTGTGTTGCCTCGTGCTCCACAGGGTTGCTGCCCACTGCAATGTCCCGCTTGGGGATAGTCTACCTTCAACATGGGTCAAAGGGTTCATGACCCAAACCATCAAATACGGGATTCCGCAGATTGTCGAGGGTTCAGCCTCCTGATGAGTCTATGCAACTCCGACGAAACAGTCTGTCATCACCAGCGTTCGTTATTTTATTTTTTTCGCTCTCCGTTTTTCCAACTTGGTATCAGTACTTGTACCTTTTTCGCTTCTTGCTTTGTGTTGGTTACCTGCCCGCCCTCCTCCCCCATGTCCTCCACCCTATGTGACTTGCAACCTCTTGTTGTCCAGTGCCTTGTTACCTCGCCATCATCTGCCTTACTGTGTTYTGCCTTAACGACCTTTGCATCGTGCTATTCCATGGGTATCTTAACTGGGCGCATGGGAACTCCTAACCTTCTAATGAGCCTTGACGAGAGCAAGCGCCAAAGAGTGTATGAAGGGATGTGTCATCCCTCCTCTGTTGGTCAGTACACCAACCTTGATGGTTATGCCATCATTGCTCCCCGCTCTTCCTAACACCCTAATCTGCTCCCCCCTAAGTAATCCTCCACTTTCCTATGGAGTTTATGACTATGGGATAACCCTTCCGGGTCTTCCCCCTAACCTGTGCTATGTTAAGCCTGCAGCTAATACTACGTGATGCTACGTTTGGACTGAAGGATGGTCTGGTTCCCCATGATTATGGGGCTGCCGTGTTATACACACCCATTACACACACACACACACACACACACACACACACACACACACACAC